CTCTCACCACCTGGGGCCTGTTTGTGAGGAAATTCAGAATCCATCTGCAGATAGGTGTTCCCAGTCCAAGGTCGACGAGCTTTGAGGCATGTTTTGAGGGGATGATGGTGTGAAAAGCTGAGCCGTAATCGATGAAGAGCATTGCCTGTATTTTCCTTCTTGTAGTCAGTGATGCAGGGTAGTCCATTCCACAGTCGCCTGGTGTCAAAGCTGTGGTATCTGGACTCCACTTTGTCCTTGTAGTCCTTTCTGGCCGTTTTAATTGACTTTTAGACCTCATCCCTGGCTGCTTTATATGCATCAGCATCCCCGGAGTTAAAGACCTCATACAGTTTGTCCATAGTTGTAACTTTATCAGCGTGTGGGGGGATGTAAACAGATGAAATGAGAACGGCACTGAAGTCCCTTGGGAGGTAAAAGGGTTCAAAGGGCCTGAAACTGTAGCAGCACATGTAAAGCACGTTTCTTTGTACATGTGGCTGCCACACATAAAATTTAATTGCCTGCCTGAAATGAAATTATTTGCTCACGCATTTTTTATGACATAAATATCATTCCACAGAAGCCACTGCTCTCCCACTCACTGACACACTGAATGTGGCCTTAGCTCGGCTGCTGTTCTGCAGTGACTGGTGTCAGAGTAACCTGAAGTGAATAATTATTCTGTGTTTAAATTAGGTTTCTGTCTCTGACTCAGTCTGCTGTCACTTTGTTTTAGAGAGAAAAAGAGATTTCAGATTAACTGGTGTTCCTGCTGCTCTAGCACTAAAGCACAGTATAGCTGACCGTGCTGATGCCTGTTCATAACTTACCAAAGTTAATAAACTGTTGGCTAAATGTTCTTGTTGTGAGAGGTAACTAGAGGTGACAGGAGCAGATAATAAGGATTAAATATATGCTGAATAACTAAATGCTGCTAGTCTGTGACATCACTCAATGCAGCATCACTTGATTTATTTACTCTGACCTTTAACCTTGTAAGACCCAAACTCTTACACGGCATGCATTTTTAATTTCTGTAAAAACAAAATGTACGAGCTGTGATAACTGTGTCTGATAGAATGAAGAGTAGACTGATATAT